ATATATAACCATAGTCTGTAGAACAATGAAAGGGAAGATGTCTTCTCCTAAAGATCATCTTGCTGAGTATATACTAAGCAGGATATCTAATGATAATTAGTGATGTCCCGAACGGTTCGCCGAACGGTTTGCGAACGGTTCGCCACGAACAGTTCGCCACAGACTCATCATTGAGTAAACTTTGACCCTGTACCTCACAGTCAGCAGACACATTCCAGTCAATCAGCAGCAGACCCTCCCTCAGACAGCTCACTAAGAATGCAGCTTCACAATGAATGTAAAATGGATGCTGTCCAGGAGGTGGGAGGGTCTGGGAGGGAGGGTCTGCTGCTGATTGGCTGGAATGTGTCTGCTGACTGTGAGGTACAGGGTCAAAGTTTACTCAATGATGAGTCCGCGGCGAACCGTTCGTGGTGAACCGTTCGGGACATCACTAATGATAATAAAGAGTCAAACTCAACTCACATTAGCTGCAGATTGTTGAAATCATTTCCAACAGTTCCAATAAGAGTCCAGTGTGTCCTAGTCACAAATAGAGAGAGTAAACAGGGCAAATGTCACTCTGTCTATCCATGTTAAAAAATAGTTGTCTTGATTGGTGACTGAACAAATTAAAATAAAATCATAGTCACAACCGAATTGCCTGTTTTTTTTATATATATACAACTTAACATTATGTACATGGGATGTTAAAACTTGATATTAAGCTAAGGGAAAGCCTTATTGTGGTTCCAAATAGTGTGTATATATAGGAACCTGATTTGAAAAAAGAGAAACTCTTTATGAGTGAATGAATGGAGTAAAATTAAACTCCTCATTCAGTCCTTTAGGGTATAGTGTTTGAAATAAGTAAATCCAACAAGACTCTACCTTAAGTAGAGAAATGTTGATATCTCCTTTACGATGATTAAGGAATATTTTTTGGATCACCTGAAACTTGAGTACACTGGGTTCTGATGCATGATTTAATCGTACATGTTTGGCAATTGGAGTATCAACATGTAGACTGGTGATGGAATCAATATATAGTTACATAGTTACATATAGTTACATAGCTGACAAGTTACTTGCGTCCATCAAGTTCAGGCTTCCTCACATATGTTTTTGCTGTTGATCCAAAAGAAGGCAAAAAAAACCTAGTCTGAAGCGTTTCCAATTTTGCCACAAACTAGGAAACAATTCCTTCTTGACCCCAAAATAGCAGTCAGATGTCTCCTTGGATCAAGCAGCTATTACTCCACTAATTAGAAATTATATCCCTGTATGTTATGTTTTTGTAAGTATTTATCCAATTGCAGTTTAAACATCTGTAATGACTCTGACAAAACCACCTCTTCAGGCAGAGAATTCCATATCCTTATTGCTCTTACTGTAAAAAAAAAACTTTTCTTTGCCTTAGATGAAATCTCCTTTCTTCCAGCCTGAATGTGTGACCTCATGTCCTATGTATAGCCCTATTTATGAATAGGTTTCCAGATAAAGGTTTGTACTGGCCCTGAATATATTTGTATAATGTTATCATATCCCCTCTCAGGTGCCGTTTTTCCAAACTAAACAGATTTAAATTTTTTAACCTTTCTTCATAACTAAAATGCTCCATTCCTTTTATCAATTTTGTAGCTTGTCTCTGGACTTTTTCTAGTGCCATAATATCTTTCTTTAGAACAGGAGCCCAAAATTGCACAGCATATTCAAGGTGTGGTCTTACCAGCGATTTATAAAGAGGAAAAATTATATTTTCATCCCGAGAATTTATGCCCCTATTTATACATGACAAAACCTTACTGGCCTTACCAACTGCAGATTGACATTGCATATTGCTGCCTAATTTGTTGTCTATAACAATTCCCAAATCCTTCTTGTGTGTGGTTATCCCTAGTTCACTACCATTTAGGGTGTAAATTGCTTGTGCATTCTTAACCCCGAAGTGCATAACTTTGCATTTTTCTACGTTAAATTTCATCTGCCATTTTAGTGCCCAGTCCCTCAATCTATCCAAATCCCTCTGCAGCAAAGCAATATCCTACTTACATTTTATTACTTTACAAAGTTTTGTGTCATCTGCAAACACTGATACATGGCTTTCAATGCCTATTTCATGATCATTTATAAATATGTTAAACAGAAGTGGTCCCAAAGCAGAACCCTGAGGACACCACTTACCACTTTTGTCCAGCCTGAAAATGTACCATTAATGAGAACTCGTTTTACTCTATCCTTAAGCCAATGTTCTACCCAAGAACAAGAATATTCATCTAGACCAATTTCTTTTAGTTTGAAGACTAACCTATTGGGGGAACCGTTTCAAATGCCTTGGCAAAATCCAAGTAGATCACATCCACTGCAACACCCTGATCTATACTTCTACTTACTACTTCGTAGAATGCAATTAGGTTAGTTTGACATGACCTATGTTTCATAAAACCATGCTGATTATAGCTAATAACAAAGTTCTTCCCAATGAATTCCTGAATATTATCCCTTAATAGCCCTTCAAATATTTTCCCAGTTACAGAAGTTAAGCTCACAGGTCTATAATTTCCAGGCAAGGATTTTGAACCCTTTTAAATATAGGAACAATACCTGCCTTCTTCCAATCCTCCGGCACAATACCTGAAACAAACAAATCTTGAAAAATTAAATGCAGAGGTTCACTTATTTCCCCACTTAGCTCCTTAAGTACTCGTGGGTGAATACCGTCAGGCCCCGAAGCTTTATTTACATTCATTTTCTTTAATAGCTGTAGCACCTTGTCTCGAGTTATCCAATCACAAGTTGTTTGCAAGTTTTTTTGCAGCAATCATTTGCATCTCTCTTGACATAAGATTGTAGAATCCGTTGGTGTAATTGCTGGTACGTTTTGCCGATGTACTGTAACCCACACTCACAAGTTATGAGGTAGATGATATTCACAGAGCTACAATTGATAAAGGAATTAATAACTATGTATTTGGATGTTCTCTTATTGTAAACAGTTTTGGATGGTAAAATAAAATTACAGGCCTTACAGGGACCACACTTAAAAAGGCCTTTCGTTGTTTGGAGCCATGTAGATGTAGTTTGTACTGGTTTCAAATGGCTGTGTGTTAGATGATCTCCCAAATTCCTAGCTCTTCGATAGGTCATTGAGGGCTGATTGGTAATCGTGTTTTTGAGACATGTGTCGTACTGTAGTACCGGCCAGTTTCTATTCAACACTTGTTGTGCCTGGTTCCAATGTTTGTCGTATGTCCTTATAAATCTGGTTGCACCTGGGGATGTGAAGGTATTTCTAGGAGGTCTGTGTAGACTCTCGGATCTATCAACAGCTTTAGTTCTTTGGTAAGCTTTCTTTAAAATCCTGTTAGGATAGCCAAGATTCTTAAATCTTTTTCTTAGTTCCTTGGCTTCCTTTTCATAGTCTTCCTGGTTAGAGCAATTCCTTTTCGCTCTTAGATATTGTCCATAAGGTATATTGGCTTTTACATGATGTGGATGGAAACTCTGCCAGTGAAGCAAACTATTTGTTGCCGTGGGTTTCCTAAATAGTGACGTGGTGATTTCACCATCGTCAAGAATGTTAATTTTCAAATCCAGGAAGACCAGTTGTCTCTTGTCTATGACATGAGTGAGTTGGAGATTAATTTGATTTTCATTGAGTGTGTCTACCATTTCCTTGAACAATGAAAAAGAGCCTAACCAGAAGATTAACACGTCATCTATATAATGATACTAGGTGCACAAAACGATCCCATGGCATTGCCTCTTAGTTGTAAAAAATATTTCCCATTGAATGTGAAGTAATTATGTGTTAATACAAATTTTAGCAAAGTCAGAATGAAACGTTGTTCTTGTTCATTGAACGTCTTGGCCTTTTCCAAAAAGTAGGCGACACCTGCTAATCCTTTGTCATGTGGAATATTATTATACAGTGCCACCACGACCAGGCTTGCCAAAGACGTATACGGGGGCACTGTGAAGTTTTCCAAGGCCAACAGGGTCTGTTTGGTATCTCGTATGTGGGACTTGTATATAGTAATTCATTTTTAAAAATTATCTACAGTATCTTGTATCAATGAAATCTCAGGGTACTTGTACTTACTGATCCCAAATCTATTAAAAGAAAAATCTCACTAATACAGTTATTGTGAAAGATCTGTTGCCATGGTAATTGAAGTACCCACTTTGACTGGGTGTTTTTTCACATATCACACAGTTTGTAGTATCATTACCAGTTGATGTGCTGAGCACTGTATACACTATTGGTTGCAGTAGTTGATTAGAATCCTTATCATTATTTTATTATTTGTTATTGTGTTTTCATTCTAGCTTTTCATTTGAGTACTTTTTTATTTTGTATTTTACATTTTTGTGATTAGTTAATAAACACAACTGTTGCACTTACTGTTACCTCCCTCCGCTGCCCCACAAAATAGAAAAAAAACCTGCTGAAAACATGTAATTACAGCAGCCAACAGGTACTCCAGATTTCAGTGGTTGTGCTGATGAGATCCTAAAATTCTACTATGCAAGGAGGAGAAATTGATCTTTTAATTGTCTGATGTCTCTTAATACCATCTCATATCTAAGGCTTCTAATTATTTTTTTATAAGCTTTCCAAATGATTTACTATTTTGGATGACATTTTTTTAAAATATTTAATATTTTGATAACTATTTTATTATTTTGATATTTCTGAAATGTTGATTTTTTTATATTTATTTGATTTTTTTTGATATTTTAATACTTTGAAAAATAATTCTAAAAGTGTATCCAACAATATTAAATCATTTTAAAAGCTAATTCAGCAATATTACATCTAAGCCTACGTTAGATGTTATTTATTATATTTTAATAAAAATATGCTGGATATATTGACAGTTTGTAAACACAAGGTTTTAGTGTGCACTCAACCAACATACATGTGTGTCCAGACTTATCTAATGCATGCCTTATAATGTTACAGAGTCCTTTCAATTCTACTCTATCTGTATTTCCTGTAATCTCTATGTAATTTTTAGATCTGCCTAGGCCTTCAATCTCTTTTGACTTTGTTCAGAATGAGAGTGAAAAAGTTAATATCTACTGTGAATCCCCATATCAACACAAAGGCAAAATGTGGTTTCAGCTACTGAACAGCAGCAAAGATATAGTGTATGAAACCGAAAAAGAAAACAACTACGCAGAATTCACCATTTACAGACCAGAGCATTTTCAAATGAAATATTATTGTGTTTATCGTATACGCATCAGGCAAGATTTTGCTGATTCGGTGATCAGTGACCCTCTAATCATCAGTGACCGTAAGTGTTATTAAGTAATTAGTTCAAGAAAAAAATGTTTAAATAATGAAATTATTTAAGTGGATCTGTCAATTTCAAGGGTCTTTCCTTATTTTCCCCCAAAATCACAAAACCTCAGTCTTTACCGTAAGACAAAGCAGTACATACTTACCTTATGGTTTCTTTGGATTGCTTTGGAGGAGCAATGAAATTTAATATTTTTTAACTTCATGAAATACAGAAAAACAACAGGATCCGCTTTAAGTTCATTTGGTAACCAGTGAACCTAACTGTATTGAAATTAAGTGAAAAGAAAATGTAATGCTATAAAAAGTGATGTTGACAACATGATACATTGAGTCATAAACCAGAAAAAAACGGAACCAATTTAATTTTTCTTCTGTATGTTTCAGACACTTTTTTTTTTTTTTTAAATATACATTTATATTGAGTAGAAAAGAATAACATGCATTCAGTACTGATTGGTCAGCAGTAGCTATGGGCATTAATGCAGTACATCAGTACATAGGATTCATTGGAAAGAAAGATATAACACATTGTCATGGTCGCCTGAATAAAACATTGATTTGTACAGAAACAATGATGCAAGAAAAATTTTTTTTTTAGCTGGTGCGTGAACATTGTCTGACACAACCGATCCTTATGGGGCAACATAGCAGTCAAGTCAAGCTGAGTACCATGTATGAAAATTGACAAAATTCAATGAAATGAGTCTAAGATAAAGACTTTTTAAAGAGGAACAGGGATGGAAATCAACTTGTGAGTTAAATCTCAATGAGTCCTTCATGGCGACCGGGAACGAAGGGTTGACACCTGGGATAGGAGATAGGCTGTTCATACATGCATGGACATTAGGGTGCGATCTGCATCAGTCTACGGTTTGGCCCAGAAAGGCTTGTTTTTAAAGGAAGGAGAGCCAAGGATCCCAAGTTTGCTTATACTGAGAATATTTGGGAGCCAAGAATTCCTTTGGGTGTGCTAGTGATAGCAGTATGTCTTCCGCGTTTGCAGACACCCCACAAATTACTGACCCCTTTGGACTCCTAAGTCTAAACGTAACTCATATATAATAGTGCATGTTGTCATGTTGAAGTTAGCGCTATATATTCACACCAGCTAGATATTATATTGCTCATAAATATGGAAACTGTACCTTATACTGAATGCATGTGCTGGGGTTTTAAATTAAACAGAATCACCATAATTATTTGAAAATATATTATATGATTGTCATAAACTAGGAGCTGCCACACTATCACATGTGTTCTTATAATATGATTATGTGCAGTGTATCTGTTTGTCTTTGAGCTTTGTTTTTACCCAGTCCATTAAAGGTTTAATACAGCATCTGTTTTTAGATGTAATATGTTCTAATTATATGCGGATTGATTTATTTGTAGTTTTGCTGTCTCAATATAATACTTACACTGATTATGAAAATCTTAATAACTGTACAATTGTATTTTAACCACAATCTCAATGTAGATATTATGATTTTAAAATGGATTTAATAAGCAAAAACTGTATATACTTTTTTCATTCTGCGCACTATAAATTTATAACAAAATAATAATAATATATATTTTTTATATATATATATTTATATATATATATATACACACACACACACACACACACTTATTTATAAAATGCCAACAAATTATGCAGTGTTGTACAATATATATAAATACACATACAATGCTCACTCTATGATTATAATAACTTAAAGAGACACTCGCCCCTATTATTGCAGAAGTAGAGAGACCATGTCAGACGACACTGATTTATCAACTAGGAGTCACACCTCCTGGTCTATGGGTATGATTGAGTCCCATAAATTCCTATCCTCCGTCCATGCTTCTTATAACAGCTATGTTAATTTTGTAAAAATAAAAAAATACTTTATTAGTAAAGTAGTTAATAACATCACATGAGGATAAGATTTGTATTTTTTCCACAGCATATAAACCCCAAAAGTTATCAATTTTATGTGGCAAAATACTATTTATGTCATAGAATCAAATACAATCCCAGGAATGTTTACTGGAAAAGAGAGCAAATGTTAATTAAGACATTTTATTTTTTATATTTTTTTAAATACTTTTAGAGAGGCACTGTAAGAGAAAGTGTTCTAACTTAGAAATACACATTGATAACATGTTTGTGCATATATTAACTTTGGGTTCCCAGAAATGCTAAACCATATAAATAGACAAGAAGAATTAATATTGTATTGTTCCGTTTTCCAGTGATGAACTTTACCACGGCAAATATCATTCGTCTGCTTCTCTCGGTGGTGATTCTCATTCTCATTGGAATTATCATTTTGAATCACTTTAATGATTTTCCGAAGACAAAAGAATTCCCTGCTAAACTGCCTTCTATTCAGGACAAACCTGACCGATATACTGAAGAACCACATGTGGTGTACGAAAGCAAAGCAGAGGAATAGACTGACGTAATGGAAAATGGTGAAACAAACCCTTTGTTGCTTAAAAGTGAATTTACACACTTTTTTTCTTTGTAAACAGATATGCAGTGCAAAGTCTGAAATAAAGATCTAACACTTTAGTAATGTAAGACAATTCTAACACACGTGCATAACTAAATTAACACAGGTAAGTAGATGACTACTTATAACCAACTAGCATGTATACACAGTTTAACTAATAGGACGATTGGAACACAATAGCATAGCTTCCCTACAAAAGTGAGATAGGCACACGATAACAGGTAACACATTATTTAAAAAAAAAATATAACATATATTAGGGAGAATATATTATATATATTAGGGAGAATCATATATAGACCTATAACCAAACTGGATAGTTTTGGGGCCAGCATATGTACCACTCAGCTGATGCCTGGCCTTGGGGCATAAGGAACAGGATGGTCCAGGTACTCAAGCTATGTAAATAAGGCAGACGATTGACCAAGGGCTAGCCAGTCTTAGGTTTAGCTAAGCACCTTGTTTGAGGAGGGAGTGCGGGAGACCCCTTATTATCTGTAGCCTTTGGGTATAGGCAACTGATCCATAAAGTCCCTCAAAGACTTTTCTCACACTGTGGATAGGGGATTGCGTGAGTCAACAAAAATTGAAATAGGAAAGGTTTGGTTATGGTGCATTGTGCGATTCTGAAACTTTTGCAAGGCTAGAACACGTCTACACCTGGTCTGCCCCAGGTGACGGATGGCAGGGTGGTGCAAAGAGCACCTTCTTTCTCCTTAGCAGGTATCTGCCTACAGGTGGCGGATCCACGTGACAAGTGCCTGCACTTCAGGTTCAGACCTTGGGTTAGACCTTGTTAGCAGCTGCTGCTGGAATCAGTCTGTGTTCTCGCTGCGCAGCTCCTTCACCTACATCAGGGCCGTCTTTAACGCGGGGCAAACGGGGCAGCTGCCCCGGGCCCAGTTTCTTTTGGGGGGCCCGAGGCACCTGCCCCATGGGCCCCGCTGCCCTCACCAATTTATTTTTTCCCCCATCCCCACAGGGCCAGCGTCTTTCCCTGGGGGGCCCAGGAGGCGGCCACCTCAGGGCCCCCCGAGGCTGGCCCTGCTGACCCCGGCGGGCGGGTGGCCGGTCGGGCAGGCAGGCGGGCGCGCGAGGGAGCACTCACTGCTTCCTCTTCAGCTCCTCACAGCATCGCATTACACCGGAGCCGGTAAGAGACGCCACATCTCCGGGCCGGTGCATCCCCCTACGCTGGCGCTGAGGGAGCTGAAGAGAGGAAGCACTGAGTGCTCCCTAGCGCGCCCGCCTTCCTGCCCGACCAGCCACCCGCCCAGGAGCCCAGCAGCACCACTGGACCCCAGGGAATCCCCCCAGCACTCCAAAAGGTAAGGAGGCTGGGGGGATTACATTTAAAAAAAAAAATGTGTTAGTGTATGTGTGTGTGTATGTGTGTTTGTGTATGTGTGTATGTGTGTTTGTGTATGTGTGTTTGTGTATGTGTGTATGTGTGTTAGTGTGTGTGTGTGTTTGTGTGTGTGTGTTTGTGTGTGTGTGTTTGTGTGTGTGTTTTAGTGTTTGTGTGTTAGTGTATGTGTGTTAGTGTATGTGTGTTAGTGTGTGTGTGTGTGTTTGTGTGTGTGTGTGTTTGTGTGTTAGTGTATGTGTGTGTCAGCATGTCTGTGTGTGTGTCAGTATGTCTGTCTGTGTGTCAATATATATGTGTGTGTATATCTGTGTGTCAGTATGTCTGTCAGTGCGTCAGTATGTCTGTTAGTGCATGTGTATGCATGTGTCAGTATATCTGTCTGTGTGCCAGTATGTCTGTGTGTGTGTCAGTATATCTGTGTGTGTGTCATGTGTGTGTGTGCCAGTGTGTGTGTGTGTCAGTATTTCTCAGTGTATGTGGGTGTCAGTATATCTGTCAGTGTATGTGTGTCAGTATGTTGATCAGTGTATGTGTCTGTGTGTGTGTGTGTCAGTATGTCGGTATATGTGTCTGTGTGTCAGTATGTCTGTATATGTGCCTGTGTCAGTATGTCTGTCTGTGTGTCAGTACGTCTACCAGTGTATGTGTCTGTGTGTGTGTCAATATATGTACCTGTGTCAGTATGTCTGTCTGTCAGTGTATACGTGTGTATGTGTCTGTGTGTGTGTCAATATATGTACCTGTGTCAGTGTGTCTGTCAGTGTATGTGCCTGTTTATCTGTATGTAGTCAGTGTATGTATCTGTGTATCTGCTTGTGCGTCAGAGTGTGTACCTGTGCATCTGAGCCGCAACTTTAAATACAAATACACCCTCCATTCAAACTTCAACACTACATATAAAACACACTCCTGCATTGAAACGTCAACACTACATACAAGCACACTCCTACATTCAAAAACAAACACTACACATAAATGCACACTTGCATTCAAACTCCAGTACCACATACAAACACATTCACACAAACATACTCCATACAAACACATGCTTACATTCAAACATACAAACATGGCTCAGTGCTAAATACAAACCTGCAAGCATGGGAAATTGGTAGAGTCCCAGCTGTCAAAGCATTGTTGGAGTTGCACGACAGATGGGGTTCTACCTTTAGTCCAACCTTGCAATTGGGGGTCCCAATAAAATTCATTCTACTTTAGTACCGCCACTGCGTTGGGATGGATGCCGTGATTGCATACCAGGGAGTGAGGGTCGAGAGCGGCAGGGCACAGGGGGCCCAAGCAAACACTTGCCCAGGGTCCATTCGTTATTAAAGACGGCCCTGAGGACAAGACCATACCTGTGGACATTAGCCTTTTGGGCAGCTCTTCACACTTTGCACAGGAGATCGTAGTGGGTGAGCCCCACTCTGCTGATTCAAAGATGACCAATCTTGCCTCTACAGGGCAGCTGACATTCTGCACTTATTGTTCCACAGGACATTGGAAAATAACATACATTACTAACTGCATGCTGAATGCCCCAGGCCTACCCTGTCTGTCAGAGTGGGCACAACCCTGCATTTTGACTAGATGTTGGAACAGTGGCCTTGCTCCATCCTTTTCAAAGGACAAAATGGCTGCTAATGATTATTCATTTATAGATTCCTACAATGCAGGGGCTTCCTGAGGACAAGACCATACCTGTGGACATCAGCCTTTTGGGCAGTTCTTCACACTTTGCACAGGAGATCGTAGTGGGTGAGCCCCACTCTGCTGATTCAAAGATGACCAAGTTTGCCTCTACAGGGCAGCTGACATTCTGCACTTCTTGTTCCACAGGACATTGGAAAATAACATACATTACTAATTGCATGCTGAATGCCCCAGGCCTACCCTGTCTGTCAGAGTGGGCACAACCCTGCATTTTGACCAGATGTTGGAACAGTGGCCTTGCTCCACTCAAGCCTTGATATATTTGGCCTTCTCTCTCAACTGCTTTTCTTCTCTGATGAAACTTTGAATGGGCATAGAGGACCATATTCTGACAACTTTGGTTGAGAGTTTAACTGCCATGTCGCTGTTTATACGTCCCTTAATAAGGCACACATTTTAGTGAAGCAAGTTTCTCTAAGTAGATGAACACCTTACTCAGTCAGGCCATTGATCCATAGTGGTTCAGCCTGAAGATGCAGTTTGTCCAGATGTTGTGTCAAATCTCAGTTGTTGCTCTAATTTTTTTCCACTGGCATTACTAGGGCTTGTAGATTATCTCATTTTATTTCTACAGCGATGGATTGATGGATGCTGCAGACAGTGTCTGATCGTTTTATAGAATTCACATCTACACCTTTTCAGTGGCACCCCATTCAAATTCGTGTCGAGAAGTTGGTTCTCCAAAACTACAGGAACCTCACAATAGGTTAGTCTTCAAACTAAAAGAAATTGGTCTAGATGATTACTCTTGTTCTTGGGTAGAACATTGGCTTAAGGATAGAGTACAACAAGTTGTCATTAATTGTACATTTTCAGGATGGACAAAAGTGGCAAATGGTGTCCCTCATGGTTCTGTTTTGGAACCGCTTCTATTTAACATATTTATTTATGATCTTGAAATAGGCATTGAAAGCCATGTTTCAGGGTTTGCAGATGACACAAAACTTTGTAAAGTAATAAAATGTAAGCAGGATATTGATTTGCTGCAGAGGGATTTGGATAGATTGAGGGACTGGGCACTAAAATGGCAGATGACATTTAACATAGAGAAATGCAAAGTTATGCACTTTGGGGTCAAGAATGCACAAACAACTTACACCCTAAATGGTAGTGAATTAGGGATAACCACACACTAGAAGGATTTGGGAATTGTTATAGACAACAAATTAGGCAGCAATATGCAATGTCAATCTGCAGTTGCTAAGGCCAGTAAGGTTTTGTCATGTATAAATAGGGGCATACATTCTCGGAATGAAAATATAATTTTCCCTCTTTATAAATTACTGGTAAGACCACACCTTGAATATGCTGTGCGATTTTGGGCACCTGTTCTAAAGAAGGATATCATGGCACTGGAAAAAGTGCAGAGACGAGCTACAAAATTGATAAAAGGAATGGAGCATTTTAGTTATGAAGAAAGGTTAAAACATTTAAATCTCTTTAGTTTGGAAAAACGGTGCCTCAGAGGGGATATGATAACATTATACAAATATATTCGGGGCCAGTACAAACCATTAACTGGAAATCTATTCATAAACAGGGCTATACAAAGGACACGAGGTCACACATTTAGGCTGGAAGAAAGGAGGTTTCTTCTAAGGCAAAGTAAATGTTTTTTTTGCAGTAAGAGCAATAAGGATATGGAATTATCTGCCTGAAGAGGTGGTTTTATCAGAGTCCATACAGATGCTTAAACTGCAATTGGATAAATACTTGCAAAAACATCACATACAGGGATATAATTTCTAATTAGTGGGGTAATAGCTGTTTGATCCAAGGAGACATCTGACAGCTAATTTGGAGTCAAGAAGGATTTTTTTTTCTAGTTTGTTGCAAAATTGGAAATGCTTCAGACTGT